CCTTCTGGCCTGTAAGGTTTCTGCTGAGAAGTCTGTTGTTAGTCTGATGGGCTTTCCTTTGTATGTGATCTTATTTCTGCCTCTGGCTGCTTTTAACAGTCTGTCCTTATCCTTGATCTTTCCCATTTTAATTACTATGTGTCTTGGTGTTGTCTTCCTTGGGTCCCTTGTGTTGGGAGTTCTGTGGATCTCCATGGCCTGAGAGACTATCTCCTTCCCCAGATTGGGTAAGTTTTCAGCAACTACCTCCTCAAAGACACTTTCTATCCCTTTCTCTCTCTCTCTTCTTCTTCTGGTATCCCTACAATGCGAATATTGTTCCGCTTGGATTGGTCACACAGTTCTCTCAATATTCTTTCATTTTTAGAGATCTTTTTTTCTCTCTGTGCCTCAGCTTCTTTGTATTCCTCTTCTCTAGTTTCTATTTCATTTATCGGCTCCTCCACCATATCCAACCTGCTTTTAATACCCTCCATTGTGTTCTTCAAGGATTGGATCTCTGACCTGAATTCATTCCTGAGTTCTTGGATGTCTTTCTGTACCTCCATTAGAATGTTGATGATTTTATTTTGAACTCCCTTTCAGGAAGAGTCATGAGGTCCATATCATCTAAATCTTTCTTGGGAGTTGAATTAACAATTTTACTCTGGACAAGGTTCCTTTGGTGTTTCATGTTTGTATATGGTGCCCTCTAGTGTCCAGAAGCTCTATTCTGGAGCTGCTCAGCCCCTGAAGCAATGTCGGGGGTGGCAGGGGAGCAGTACTGGTGCCCTGGGGTTAGGAAAGAGCTGTTCCCAGCCTCCCGGCTGCTGTGCCTGTCTCCACTGCCTGAGCCAGTGGGCCGGTCACACAGGTATGTTTTTGTCTCAGAGCAGCCAGATATGGATCCCTGCTTTCCACAAGTGGCCAGAATCCCAGTGTCCCCAGGAACTCTGCCTGTATTAACTTTCCAACCCTGTAGTCATGCGAGTCTCATGAAAGCACCATGAAATGTAGGTTTGTGCTCCCAGAGCAGATCTCCGGAGTTAGGTATTCAGCACTCTGAAGCCTTCCACTCCCTCCCTGCTCCATTTCTCTTCCTTCTGCTGGTGAGCTGGGGTGGGTGAGGGGCTCATGTCCAGTGAAGCCACAGCTCTGGTACGTTATCCTGTTTGCTGAGGTCTGCTCTTTTCTCCAGGTGTGTGCAGTCTGACTCCGTCCTCTTTCCTGTTGCTCTCTCAGGATTAGTTGCGCCAATTAAATTATTTTTTTGTATCCAGTTTTAGGAGGAAGCCTCTGTTTCTCCTCTCACGCCACCATCTTTAATCCTCAATCCAGGCTTTCTTTCTGTTGCAGCTAAAACCTCAAATGTTCCCAGCTTTGAAGACTAGAAATACTTTCTCTATACCTTCAGGTTTTTCTAGTGTTTTGTAACTTGCGTTTGTCCAGATCTTTTCATTCTTTTGCTTGTTTTGTTTCTTAAGTTTTGTAATCCTTTCATTTATGATTTTTTCCTTGACTTAATCCTTCCTTTTAATTCCCTTGGGTTATTTTACTGTTCTTTTTCTAAATACATGAATTGAATGTTTAATTCATTTGTTTTCATTCTTCCTTTCTCAGTAATGAATAATTCCAACTTATTAAATTTCTTCCTAAGTACCACACTGCATACCTATTAAATTCCTCCATCCATTCACCCAGCTCAGATTGACTTTCCTTTACCTTCCCTCTCTGAAACAATTTTTGATTTTGAATACAAAAGCAGTTTGGGACCACTCATTGGAAACCTCTGAGGAGGACAGCACTGTGTTTATTTTCACAGAGCATTCTTTCTGTCTTAGCACAGCATCCTAGCACAAAGAAATGATAATGATAATAGATAGCCTTTATTGAACACTTACGCTGGCATTGTGCTTTAATCATATTGTTTTAACAACCCATACTATCTTCCATGCCCATTTTCAAGATGAAACAGGTACTCAAATGTTTGTCCTGTGTTTCTATTCCTGCAACATGCCAAACATTCAGTTTTAAGGCCTTTTCCCCTAATCTGTGTGGCTCTCTCTCCACCTTCTATTCAATACTAAGAGCAAATGCCATTTCTTCAAAGTAAAGGTCACTAAAGCAGTGACCATCCAACCTAAACCAGTCTCCCTCCATACTTGCACACATTCTATTTTATTTTGTTCATACCACTATTTCAAAATATCTTATTCATTTCCCTGTTAGGATCTGCCTCCACCACTAGACTTTAAACTCCAAAAAGCATTAATTTTGTTCACCACAGCATTTCCAAGGCCCATTTAAAAGGTTTCTGGCACATAGTAGGCACTGAAGAAATACTGACGGGATCAATGTACTGTCAAGGCAAAGAATGGAACCTGAGGAGAAGCCAGTACTTTTAGGCTCTTCTGGGTAAATGTAACAGCTACTCTTTAATCTGAAAGTATGATCCCGGGAGGTAAGAGAGAAGTCTCAGTAGATGTATGACTTGGAGCATCTCACTTCATTTCAACTGGGTTTCTTCTGTGAAATGAGGAGGAAGGTCTTTTGTGTCATCAACTGTGATTCTACCCAGAAAAACTTACCTTAAAACCAGCGTGAAAGCAAGGGAGGAAGAGGAGGAACGGTCGCTCAGCAGCGGAAGAGGGAAAGGGAAGAGAGTGAAGTGTGGCAGGGGATTAAGAGGAGGGGAACGTCCAGTGTCCCAGGGGAGCACAGGGAAAGGGTGGTGGCCAGGGGGTGCAGGGGTTGGGAGAGGCACGGAGGGAGTGCGGGCTGTCTGGCTGGGACTAGGCCGGACAGAGCCTGGTACAGGCGAGGGGACAAGGGGGCACAGAGGGTGTTGCGGGACATGGTGACATCGGGTAACCGAGAGGCAGTGTGGGTGGGGGTGGGAGGCAGCTTGAGGTAGGGAGGGGGCGCTCAGGAGTTGCCCGCGGTGCTCAGAAGCTGGAGAGGTCTAACCGGCTGGGACTGGGCACGACAGGGCGGGGCGCTGACAAAGCGTGGGGCTGGACCTGAGGGAAGTGGGGGGACATGCAGGGGTCGCGGCGAAGGCCTAGGGAGGACCCCGACGTGGAGGAGAGCAAAGGGGGCGCGGACGGGCGGTCATAGGGAACAGCGGGGAGAGGGCAGGTGGGGAGGAGAGGCGCAGGTGGGCGCCGGGCGGCCGAGGGGCTCGCGGGGGGCGCCGAGGGAACTCGGAGGGGGCGCGCCGGGCGCGGGCGGAGGCGCCGCGGGGGGCCGCGGGGCTGGCGCGAGGTCGGCTGGGCGCGGGCGGGGCGGCCCCGGGGGCCGTCGCCTCACTTCCGGGAGCGCCGGGGCTGCGGCCGCCGCCTGCTCGCTGCGCTGCCAGCCGGCGAGTCCGGAGCCGCGGAAGCCCGGGGAGCGTGCGGCCAGGCCGGGGCGCCGCGATCAGCGCGGCGCGAGCCTCTCGGTGCGGCCATGGGGGCGTCCTCGCGGCTGCTGCGCGCGGTGATCATGGGGGCGCCGGGCTCTGGCAAGGGCACCGTGTCGTCTCGCATCACCAAGCACTTCGAGCTGAAGCACGTCTCCAGCGGGGACCTGCTCCGAGACAACATGCTACGCGGCACAGGTGGGAGCCCGGGCCGGAGGAGCGGCCGGGCGCGGTCAGCGGGCGGGGATGCGGGTCCTGGGGCGCGACGCAGCATCTCCCTGCCGCCGCCTGGGGAGAAACCTCGGGCTGCTGAGCTCTACGCCTCCACACCTCGGGCCTCCCTGGGCAGCTTCGGGCGGGGGAAGGGACTAGGAAGTTAGGACAAGTTCGAAGTTCAGACAGTAGAGGAAACCTCTGGCTTTGAGAGGCACGTCCAGCCCGAGTCGCAGCTGCTCCTAAGGGTCATGGAGCTGTGGCTTATCCTCCACGTGCCCTTTCATCTCGAGAACTGAAGTTTGACCTGAAACCTTTGCTCTCTTTTTCACTTTTGGTGGTGGTTGTTAAACGGGCTTTTCCGGTTCCGACCCATAATCTGAAGGCGTGTTATTATTTACTCTCCTTGCAGTTACGAAATTGGCTTAGATCTTTGATACCCCCAGAGATGTCTTAGACATGAAAGCTATTCTTGTGCACGGTTATCCGAAAGATTTTGTTTCTCATGCCAAATAAATTCTTAAAACTCAGCACAAAATCCAGTCAACGAACTGTACACTTTACAATGGGAGACTTACATAATGCAAATTATATCTCAAGAAAGCTGGTTTGAAAAAGTCAGCAGGAGGATGAGTTTTTTTCTCAAAACTGTTGACCTTTACCAAACAGAACCTGTTTTTAAGCTCCTTGTTAAAAAATATGAAAATAATGCCTGTACAAGATAAGGAAGGATAGGAAAAAGGACGAAGTACATGAAATGGAAGGTAAAGCACCTTCTCAACACCTGTCTCAGTCGTATTCTTCAGAGGAGAACAGTGTCTAGTGTTTCCTTTTAGAAATGTGTATTTATATATAAACACACAAAATAAGGGATATACTTATATATGTATTTTTCGCCAGGATATCACCTAGGTATCCTGTATCTAGGAATTCTGCCCACATGAGAATATAGAAATCTATTTCTTTTAACATTTGAAGAGCTTTGCAAAATTATTATTTGCTATTTGTTAAATTATGGTTTATTTAACCAGTCCCCTATTGATGGGCACTGAGGTTATTTCTAGGTGTGTTGGTTGGTTTGTTTCAAAAGACTGACATATAAATGAAAAAAGAATCACCCCAGTGCTTTTAGTTTGTCTCTTGGAGTTCTTTGGTTCAGCACTTAGTGTGGCAAATCAGTTTATTTTTTCCTCTTCTAACACTAATCTTTTAAAAATCATGAAGAGTTTTATAGTTAAACTTCTTCAAAAGGTTTAATTGTTCGGCTCACTTGCTAAATGTTATTGATGCAATGTACTGAAATAGTTAGGTAACAATGAACAGTCACCAGTATTGCACCAGTGCAGGTAATGTTATACAAAGTGAAAAGGAGTAAAGAATCCTTAAAGGATTCTCTGGAAAAAATCTGAGCAATGAGGCATAACTGTGTGGTTAGAGAACACCTTCAGCATAGAGCTAAGGATACATTAATTTGTGAAAAAAACAAATCATTAAAAAAAATTAAATTTAAGGCCAACTAAGTACACTTCTTTAAAAATTAAGAAACAGTGCTCTTTGCTCATTCTTAACATCCCAAGACATGCCTGCTGTCCTCTTTCTGGCTCCACAGGAAAAGAGAGGCTAGAGGGGGGAGGAGGAGATCTCTGAAAAAAATGTTCAGTTTGCCTTAGGTGCCTGTTCATTCTGGAGTCTTTAAGAGCAATTCTTTAACAAAGAAAACAGAAAATGGAGTTCAGGGAGGTGTCATGAGATTGTTATTACAGATGTTCTGTATCTCAGAACTAAGATTATATTCTCAGTAAGTATTTTTCTCATCTAACAAAAGAAAAATATTTTGTATTTTGTGGGTTTGGACATTTCCTACAAGACCAGAGCCAAAAGAGAGGTATAATCTTTTATTTAAAAATACTTTTTAATACTTTTTATGCTAAAAGTTTACTTACTATAAAGGAAAAAAAGCATGTCATGAGAATATAAAGAAAGAAAATTAAAATCCTCATCATTCCACCATTTGGAGACAATTATAATTAACCCTTTGCTGCCTTTTCTTATGTGATTTTTTCTCTGCTGCATATGTATTTGCAAAGTTGTTATATTCTAAATGATTAGATACCTTTTTCACTTAAAAGCATGTTCATACATCATTAAGCAGTCTTAAAATTATATTTAATTTCATCAAGATTGCATAATTGTTAATGTAAACATTTTCTTATCATTAGACATATATGTCATTAACCATTCTTTGGTATATTAAATTAAATACCGTTCTGTCTTTATACATGAACATTTGGCAGCATCTCTGCTTATTTCCTTCATATAAATTCCCTGGGGTGGAATTGCTATAAATCTGGCATCATCAAATAGTGCTGCAGTAGGATGGAGCCCCTTTACTCTCCAGCCACTATTTCATGAGGGTGTTGTATATTATGACCTATGGCTTTATTTTATAGCTAAAGTTTAAAATCATTCCAGTAGGTGTAGTAAGGGCACAGAAAACAGGAGGCAACCTGTTGACAGTAGCAAACCTGGAGGTACCATGGACCATCACTGGACCTGGTGTCAGGAAACTTGAGTGTGACCCTTAGTCTAGCCCTCCATTTAGAGATGAGAAACTGAGTTCAGGAAGAGGTTAAAGAATTTTCTTAATAATAAATAGCAGTGACTGGGAGACAAGGGAAAATAGCTAGGACTCCTTGTGTGCCAATTAAATACTCTCTCCCTTTCATAAGATAATTTTAAGTAGAAAAAATTTTTTATTTACTTCAAAGTGTATTTGAAAAACAGTAATGCTAAACCTTTAATTTTTTGAGCATATAGCTTATTAATTTAAAAGGCTGAGTCACTTTAAAGAAAGGCTATTACAGTATGAACTATTATAGTAAATAACAGGTCAGCTGTGACAGAAGCTGCAAGGTTGCCATGTGATTGCCCAAAGTTCGAGAAACTGAAGTACAGTTTAGTTCTTTTCAAGGACATAACCCTAGACTAGATTGTTAACCCTTTTGAATCTCATTTGTACTTATCTGTAATTTGGGAGAGTTGAACTCTACTCATCTTCAAGGCCTCTCACTACCAAGATTCTATATGTTTAATGTAGGAACCAAGGGCAGGACAGCCCATTGGGACATGCATATTATTTTGAGCTGAAAACCAGCAAGCCCCAAACAACTTAGAAAGAAACTTTGACCTCCTATCCCCCAACTGCATAAAAAGAATTTAGATAGAGGCTATTACCTTAGATAACTATATTATAAATTAGATGTGGTAGACAGGAAGGGATGAGGCTAAGTTTGTTGAAATTCCTCTCTGTGCCCACCCCCAATTGTTCCTATGTAGCCCATCAAACATTTGTTTATCAAACATTTACTATTTTCATATTCCTCTGAATTACTTGCCTTTTCCTTTGAAGTCTCAGACTCCTACCCCCTTCTCCTTGGTTCAGGATGACATATATACCTCATTCTCCCTAACCATCTTTGGAACCCATGTCTATGGCTTCCCCATATATATGTAATTAAACTTTGTTCTTTTTCCTCCGTTTAATCCGTCTCATGTCAATTTGATTCTTAGATCAGCTAGAAGAACTTCAAGGGGGTAGAGGCAACTTCTTCCTCCCTAAAACTAACAAACTTATGTTATGTACACCCATGCAGCATAGGTATGTTTAATTTTAATAATATTGACAGTAGAGCAAATTATTTTTGTGATGGCAAAAATTGATTTATAGTAAGCAATACATTTCAATGGTTTGGAATTCCAAAAAATAGAAAAGGACATTTAGTGAAAAGATCCTTCCAGAGCTAGTTCATACACATACAACCAAATGTTTACCTATTCTACCCTGCTTATTTTCCTTGTTTGCACAAATGGTAGCAAACTATAGTACTGTTCTGTACCTTTAGCAATATTGCTTTCCATAAGGATTGTCCTGCTTCTTTTTTCCTAACAGCTTTATTGAGATATAGTTCACATACCATATATTTAACCCATTTAGGGTTTACAGTCAGTGGACTTATGTATATTCACAGAGGTGTGCAGCCATCACCACAGTCAATTTTAGAATATTTTCATCACCCCAAAAGAAACCTTATACCCATTAGCAGTCACTCACATTCCCACCCACCCAATCTGAGCCCTTGGCAACACTAATCCCCCTTCTGTCTCTATTGATTTGCTTATTCTGAACATTTCATACAAATGGAATCATACAGTATGTAGTCTTTTGTGTCTGGCTTCTTTCACTTAGCATAATGTTTTTAAGGCTCAGCCATGTTGTAGTACGTATTGGTACCTCATTCCTTTTTATTGCCAAATAATATTCCACATTTTATTTATGCATTCATGAGTTGATGGACATTTGGGTTGTTTCCCTCTTCCATTATTTTATGGCTGCCCTATACTTTATTTAAATACTCTAAAGAGTGTTTTAAAAGTCTAACCTGATAATAAGTACTGTCTCAAAGAAAATAGGCTTTTGCTAGATTTTTTTAAAACAAAACAAGCTAGGCTTTTTAAAATTCCATGGCTAGAATCCAGGAGAACCTGGGCAGCTCGTCTGTCCATCCATCCATTCATTCATGGATCCATCAACTAATGTGTGCTAGGTACTAGAGATACAGACATATCCCACTGGGGGTGCTCACAATCAGAACGTGGTGGGCAGGTGGGCAGATGGCCATGTGTATTAGTCTGCCCAGGGTGCCGTAACAGTATACCACAGACCAGGTAGCTTAAACAATAAAAACTTGTTTTCTCATAGTTCTAGAGGCTAGAAGCCCAAGATCATGGTGCCAGCCAGGTTAGTTTCTGGTGTGGCCTTTCTTTCTGGCTTTCCTTCTCACTGTTCTCATGTGGCCTTTCCTCTGCCGTGTGCATTCCTGGTACCTCTTCCTCTTGTAAGGACTAGTCATACTGGATTAAAGACCCACCTTTATGACCTCATTGAATCTTAATTACCTCCTTAAAGGCCCTCTCTGTAAATATAT